AGAGACAGAAAAAAGCCCCAACACCTAGCACACTTACTTTTAGTAGCAGATTGGTTGCTGCGGTCTGTTGAAGCTCGGCGGGTGAAGAGAATAGCGGAAAGTGCGAGTGAACGTGATCCCAGTAACTCCTAAGGTATTCAAGCTCTGTTGGTAGCCATTCTGTACAGCGGTAATGATCGACCTTTCCGGCTATCGAAGGTCGCATCGTCCCGCATGTGGGCGATAAATGGAAATTGCTAGTTGGCCCAACATAGACCGTCTTGCCGGTGACTTCGTCGTGTATCAATGCGCCATTCACAGAGCATATAGCCCCAAGGGCTGAAGTTGTCAGCTTCTCGTCGTCAAACTCCAGACCTAAGACACTGAATTTCAAAGACTCAAGAGGCCGTTCGAGCCTCACTTCTTGATGCTCTTCGGAATTGAAGGGAACAGAAACGCCATAATGTGTATCCAATGTTGAATCTCCCATTAGCTCAAATCCGAGTGACGCACTAGCTTGCGCTTTTCTGAGCTGAGATTCCAAAAAGGCAATTCTGTTGTTCAAAGCACTGAATTCGGATTCCGTGTGTCGTGACTTGCGTCCATCAATTCGACTGTAGTTGCAGTTTCGATCAAGTCGAGCGCATGTAGCGCACTGCGGTTTGGCGCCATCGCATTTGATCCTTCCTGTCCGGCACTGATGGCATGCCATTGATACCCGTGATGTCTGGCGCCTCGTTCGCGGCAATGAATTGGAAGACATGATGGGCTGCGTATAATTCCTCAAGAAATTGGAATTCTCCATCGATACTAAGGGCGAAGATTGGATGTGGACAAGTTGTTAGATAGAATTCCTTGAGTACCTAACTGGAGTATGAGCATCCATGTGCGAAACCTACTAGGTATGCCTTCCCTGACGAGCGGGGCCGATAAGACAAACGAAGTTCAACCAATGAAATGCAGCAACCATATCATAGGAAAATATATTCCGCTCAATCACCATGAGCGCCTTGGACAAAAGAAATAAACTTGTTAGCCGTGGGTATCTCGTTTGATATGCTTACGCAAGCTCTTATCCTATAAGGGCGATAGGGATAATAAGGATAATGGAGACGACGTGGACGACGGGGTACGAAGGGAATAATGAGGACGACGGGGGACGACGGGGGACGACGGGGGACGACGGGGATAATGAGGACGATGAGGACAAGAAAATCGACCGAGACAACTGGTACAATCGGGGTGATTGGCACAATGGAGGCTCCAGGATTTCGGAAACACGAGCAGCATTCACAATATCGAGGAAAGTGGAGCAATGAGAGTATAAACACCGCGAAATGTCCAGGATGAGCGACTAATCCAATCCAACTGAGTTAGAAAAGCTTGTACTGTCAATGATAAGCTGAATGAATGAATACTGCATATAACATGTACGAAGGTCATCAAGTGCGACTTATACCACTTAAATAAGGATAATCTGTTACATAACGTCCCACACCTACTTCTCAGCTACCTCCACATTTCAGCTACCCTAAAATACTTTATTAAAAATACTTACTACTATTTTTAAACTTAAATAACTTTACTAATTTTTATTTAATTATTATTATTCTTTTTATAAAGTATAATAACTACTAAATATATTAATATATAGAGGATAAAGTTTCTTAGGTATTTAAAGCTATTATAATTAGTATTAGTTTATAAAAAGCTTTATTATAGTATAATATTCTTAGAATAATATTTTAATCTTAAATCTATAGTACTTAAATAAGAGATATTATTTTTTTTAATTTATAAAAACTTTTTATAACTTAAAAAAGCTATTTAGCTAAATAAGTTTAGATTTAAATTATTTTAAACTTACTTCTAATTTATTAATAATTTAAGGATTTTACTAAATATATTTTATAGGTTTATAGAGATTTTTAATTTTTTAGAAAAAACTAAATATAGTTTTTTATTAAAAAAAACCTATCTATAAAAATTTAAAAAAGTAGAGTAATTAATTCTTAATATATTAATAAAGCTTTAATTAATATAATTAAATAATAGTTTAAATATCTTATTATACTTAAATTTATAGCTATTAAAGCTTCTAATTAATATAATATAAATAAGATTAGTATTTTAGAAAGTAGAAGATTAAATAGGTTTATTTTTAGATTATTAGAAACTTATTCTATCTATAAAAAATAGCTTAAATTATATATTTAGATATCTCTAATTAAGTATATCTCTATAATTAATAAAATACTATTTCTACTTATTATATATAAAAATAAGAATATTTAATAATAGTAGTTCTTTTTAAATTTAATATTATATAAATCTTAGAAATTTATAGCTATAAAAAATAAGTAGATTTTAGATTTTATAGCTATTAAGTAGTTAATAAAGGTTTTTATCTTTTTAACTTAGCTAAAAAACTTCTTAGAAGTTAGATTATTAATCTTAAATAGTTATAAAAGCTATAAAACTACTACTTTTATATATATATACTTTAAGAATAAGATATACTTATTATTCTTATTAATATATATATTATATATTTTTTAGCTACTTAATTAGTTAGTTTTTAAGCCTCTTAAAGTAGTATATAAAAAAGAGCTTAAATTATTAGCTAAATAGGATACTAATATAGTTATAAATAAGAGAAATTTTATTATATATTATAATAAAGTATATAAAATAGCTTTAATAAGTAAGAATATTATTAATAGCTAGAAATAAACTAATTTATAGCTTATTAATATAACTAAACCTTTTATAAACCCTCTAATACTTAAGAATACTTTAACTCCTATTAAACTAGCTAATTAAGTTTATAAAAAGCTCTTTAATAGTAAAAAAAATAAAAAATAAATAGTAGATATATTAGTAATCCTTTAGTTAACCCCTAAAAAAAGGGATAAATTTTAAAATTAGTTTAACCTATTTAATAAACTAAATAATAATAAATATATATAGTATTTACTTTTTTAAAAAGTTTAAAAAAACTTTAATAAGAAAGTATACTAATTAGTAGTAGCTTAATAAAAAATTAAAGTATTATAAATAGAAGTTAATATTAGTAAAACTAAGAAATAGAAAAAAGTTAAAATAAGCTTAAATTTAAAGTTTATTAATATTAAAACTATTTAGAAAGCTTAAATTAAAGTAAGTAAACTTAAAAATAGTATAGATAAATCTAATAAATCTAAAAACCTTAGTAATAGTAAAAGTTATATTATTATAGTATTATAATATATATAAATATTAGTTAAAGTTAATATATATAAATATGAAGGTATTAAAAGTAGGTAGCTAAAATGTAGGGGTAGCTGAGGGGTAGGTATAGGATATTAATTATGCTAATTATAGAGCCTGTTGATTTGTTCTAAAGTCTTTCCTGCAGTTTTAGGCATCTAAAAGTAACAAATATTAAGGAAGTTTTAAGCCTACCTAGTAGGAGTTTTCATAATAGGGGAAAAAGTAGTAAAAGCACCTTAGTCAGTGCTTAGTCTAGTAGCTTCGCAGTATATATACCTAAGGGTTTAGAATAACTACCTATGCTGACCTCAACTTACTATACTATTATAGCTATTAGCCTTATTAACGATAACTTTATTATTAGTAAGGTTAATAGCTTCACCTATGTAACTTATATAGTAATAGCTTTATAAGGTCTTTAGCTATAGAAAAGCTTATCTTAGCTATATACTTAAGATACTACTACTTACTAAGCTTTAAGTTTATCCCTTATCCTTAATCCTATATTAATACTACTACTTAAAGTAAACTACTTAGATTCCTATAACTTTATAATATATTCTATTCTACTTAATCTATAAAGCTTTATACTATAGAGCTTTACTTAAGGTATACCTTAAGATATAATAATTAATACTAACTATAAAGCTAAGCTTATTATAATTAATAAGTTAATACTTTTCTACTTATAGAACCCTAAAGATAAGATAACTATAACTAAGTTATACTTAATAGTCCTAAAAGCTAATATTAGTAGCATAGCTATAAGAAACGCTTATATACCTTAACTAAGGGATATAACTATATTTATTACTAATTCTAACTATTATACTTATTTTAATAATATTCTTAGTAGGGTAGTATAGTTAGTAAACTAATTTAGCTAAAATTATAGATATTACTAATAAATATAGAAGAGTAAGTAGTAGAAAAGAAGGCTAAGTAATAAAAGGTATATATAAGAGTTAGAAGATAGATTAAAAAGTTATAGAAAGTCTATAGTAATTAAGTTTAGTTAAAGTTATGAAGTTATTATCGAAGTAATATTAAAAGTGATAAGATTATCTAATGGATAGCGCACCTTAGTGCGCGTAGGGGAAATGGGGCTGAAGGATTATGTGACTAGTAGGCCGTTAGCTGAAGGGGGAAGTTGGAGGTCGTTGCAGTATAGGTTCCAGGTAAAAATCACAGTAGCTGGCCAGAGGCCCTAAAAGTAACAAATAAGAGTAACTATAACGCTTAAACCATATATCATGAAAAGGGATTAATACCTAATAGCAGCAAAGAGGTAAGGACTGATCATGCTGGCAAAGAAAGAGCTAATTCTAAGACTAACTATACCCACGGAACTGCCTTTAGCCCTAGATTGAGCAGGGAAGATTTCGGAAGGATACGCAAAAGGGCACCAGACTGTTCGGAAACCTCAACTGTCAGCTTATGTTTCACAAGAAGTGGAGGATCAAATGAAATGACATACGCCATGTTGCGCCAAAAATGGCATCCCAGAGGAACACTAAAGCAACTGTTGCCGAGCCATAGGACTTAGCTAGTGCCGGATTTGTGTGTGTGTAATTGTTGACGAAGTAGCCGCATATGCTAATCAGAGCCAGAACGACGGCCCTAATGGCTGAACCACTAATCATGGCTTTACGGCGACCTATAGTGTCGGAAAGCAAGGCACCAGGAAGACTAAAGGCCGCTTAAGTGATAATACCCATTCCTGCAAGAAGTGCTGCTAGCTCGGACGACCATCCACCAGTCTCAAAGATTTAAATACCGTACCCAGAGACAAACCCCGAACCGACCATTGCTTGTGTCGCGAACTGTATGAAAATTGCCGACCAAGTCCGTCGAGCCGTTTTCAGATCGTCTGGAGCCGTCAACATAGCCCAATAGCTTGCCGACGAATTGTGTATACGTTCCGTCTCTATCGCCTGTGCAATCGAAAGAAGTTCGGACTCCACAGTCTCCTCAAGCTCAATAGGATCTTCGATGGACTTGACACTCCGGAGACCATCCCGGGCTGCATTGATGAGGCCGACTTTGACGAGCCAGCGTGGCGATTCAGGCAGGAAACACACCATAGACAGGACGGTGATGACGTAAATCAGCTGAAATGACATCGGTAGCCTCCAGACTATCTCGCCTGTAGTGTGCTTGGCCAAACCATACGGGATGAAGTAAGCGATGGCCGTGCCTGTAGCAGCGCAGCACATCAAAATGCCCATTATACGGCCTCGGCGGCGATGATCAGCGCTTTCAGCTGACCAGTTCAGTCCCACAGAATCGAAGGATCCCGTAGCGCACCCGTTGAGGAAACGAAGCGCCAGAGCCCATGGGAAGCTCTGCAGAGATGCAAACGTTTGAATGATGGCAACCGCGAAGATGCCAGTAAAGACAATGGCACGTCGGCGGCCAACGCGATCTGAGAAGGAACCAACGAGAAGGGCGCCGAGGATGACACCAATCCAGTAGACGCAGTTGATCAGGCCGATGAGGAGCTGAGTATGATTGCTTCCGTCTGTGAGTCCGATGACTTGGAGGTACGAGTCTAAACCGGAAATGCTGCCCATGAGTGCGAGATCTATAATTAATGTCAGCTGCATGTGATCTCCGTAGAGGCTAATAGAACAAGCAGTGAATGGTGCCAAGGCCAAGAAAAATAATGACAGTTATAACGTACTGTATCCTGAAAGTGACATGATGCAGCATCCGCAAGCAACTACGCCAATTCTCGAGACCTTAGGAGGCAGCCCAACGAAACGGTACGTCGGGGATGGCCCTGGCATGTATCGAGTCCATGCTGGAACGCCGTTCGGTATTGCGTCCGTCTGTCCCAGACCGAAGTCGCCAGAGTCGCCAGGGGTGCCAGATGAAACAATTTTGCTCTTCATTTCAGTTGAGTAATCAAGGCAACTGGTACAAAAGCATGTGCGATTTTCTATTGAGACGCGACTGGTGGCAAATGCAGCGGGCGGCCTTTGCCCTTTTTCATAATGCTGGGTCGCTTGTTGCTTCCATACCAGAGGAAATATTATTCATGGGAGTTTACATAGACAGTAGTGTTGTAAGAGAGCTCGTACTCCCTCATCTGCGTGATAGCAACCGGAATTTATTTCGCGGATCGGGCAGACTTTCTGTACTTGGAAATAAAGCCAGGGTGATACCGCCATGAATCTGATAAGACGATAGGGGAAAATAGCTTATAGGAAGCTCCCTCAGTACATTTCACGTATCAAAATTGCCGCTTTCTAGATGGATGGAGAGATCCGTCAGGCTGGTTATGGCTGTGGGTCCTAGTTATGATACCAACCGGAAGTTGATATACGGATACCGATATACCGATCACACCGTCAAATCATCATTGATATCAGAGACCATAACAGTGTGTCAGGATTTCACAGGAAATAAGCACGTAAACTGCGTGTGCCGTATCGATATCTCCGGTTGGAATCGTAGGTTTGGCTGCATGGACCACTTCAACAGCTTTATTACTCTAGCCACTGTGAGCAACTGAAAACCGACTTAAAGTCAATACCAATATCATAAATCAGCAATCACGAGCGCCTACCCAAATCGAGCATACTACAGCTGGAAAAAATCAAAAACATCTCTTCCTTTTACTTGAAAGATGAACAGCCACGTGTATAAAGACCCCAACGACCCTGTCAAAGTTGCAGTCGTGCAAGCCGAGCCTTGTTGGTAAGTGATACACCGGCCAGATCTTCGTCGCATCTTCGGCAATTCTGTGTATCTTGTAATACTAACAGCCGTTTCTTGGTCAGGTTCGATGTCGAAGCTGCAACTGTCAAGACATGCGAACTCATAACCGAAGCGGGCGCGAACGGTGCGAAGCTTGTAGCGTTCCCAGAGCTCTGGATTCCCGGATACCCCAACTTCATCCATACCAAAGCAGCCAAGGAGACTATGGATTACAACCTCAAGTATTACCGCAACTCCATCGATGTCCGGTCCGATCACATGGAGCGCATCCGTATGGCTGCCCGGAATGCCAATATCGTGGTTGTCGTGGGCATATCGGAGCGGGACAAAGGCAGTCTGTACATGGCCCAAACCTTCATAGGCCCAGATGGAGACGTGCTTCTCCACAGAAGGAAGTTCAAGCCCACTGCTCAGGAACGAATCCTATTTGGTGACGCAGTAAGTGGTCACTACAGCCCCAGCAAGCCTTTGTGCTGACCTCGGCGTGCCCAAAGTCGGGTGACTGCACGACGAATGTAGTTCAGACGCCCATCGGCCGAATCGGTGGCCTTCAATGCTTCGAGCACCTGCAACCTCTTCTAAAGTACAATACCTACTTTCAAGGAGAACAGATTCATGTTGCCTCATGGCCAAATCTTTTCCCTCCAGTCGGCAAAATGCCCTTCTTCAATACCGTCGAATCGTGTATGATGGCTACCCACACCCTCGCCGTAGAAGGCGCAACATTCGTTCTTCTCGCTTCATCAACGCAGACAGAGAAAGGGCTTATAGCCAACGGGCTTATGGATGAGAGTGAACATGCCGGTCAAGGGGGAAAGCCCCACACGGCGGTCGTAGGTGGTGGATTTTCCGAGATCATCGCTCCGGATGGTCGCACGCTGGTGAAGGCACCTAGCCCCACGTTTGAGGGTCTCCTCTATGGAGAGCTCGAATTCGACGAGATCTACATTGCAAAGAGCATTGTCGACACGGTGGGGCAATACTCACGCCCTGATCTTTTTACTCTACAGGTCAGGGGCAAACTCAGGCGCCAATGCGAATACGACGAAACAAGCAATATTGATCATGTATCAAGGTTTCCCGATCTCCCGATAGGATAAGAAGAGTTTGGAATTGGTGGAAAGCACCAGTGTCAATTTTATATTTGATACATGAAGACTAGAACTGTTTCAAGGACGAAACCTTACTTGCTTGTGACTGTTTTAACTGGTTTTGGGACATCAAACACTTTGCCAGGATTCATGATCCATCTAATTACCGTCAGAGTCAGATTTGATTTAATACGCCAGGCGTTGAAGCCAAACCAAATGTGCAAGCTTGTGATCGAGTGGACTCACTTGGGATCTACAGAGCTCTTCAGAGCTCTCATCAAGTCAATCGTGTCGACACCCAGCTCATTCAAGAGGCATTCCTTTGACAGTATCAATACACTGTTTACGTGTGGGTAGAGAAGAATGACAAACCTTCTTTCCAATTCCAATACCATGTTCTCCCTGCCCATATGTTACTGCTTGGTCTCAAACGCGGGCTTGATGAACAAGAAATGATTGGACGGTGCTTACCGAAACTGTACCTCCGAGCTCCACAGCTCGATCCATCATCTTGTGCACGCAGTCTTCCACAGCCTGGACGTGCTCCTCATTCTTTGCATCGTACATAACGGCTTGGTGGAAATTTCCGTCTCCGACGTGCCCGACGATACTAGCAAAAACTCCAAGTTTGTCGGATTCCTGCTTGGAAATATCTGTGAACGGCATGCTCAGTATCGCGTCGCCCTCCCAGATTGCCAGACGTACCAATAAGTTCTGCAAGCTTAGATATAGGAACTGCAACATCAGTTGACCAAATGTTGAAACCTTGAGGCTTGATGGACGTCATGGTCCACAGCGCCTCCTTCCTTCCCGACCATAGATCGATTTCTTCTTGCTTGTTTGCGGCAAACAATATTTTGCTCGGGCTGAATGGTTCTATGACGGACTTAACGGAAGCAATATCGCCATGAACCCCCTCTTTGGTGCCAGAGAATCTAGTTCAGGGCTGCCATTAGTAGAGTTCTTGAAGTTTCGGTCCATATGACAGCAACTCACTTTAGAAAAAGCGTGGGGTTTTCCGGAAATTGCCAACGTCGTACTGCTGCACTGCCATGTTTGTTCAACACCCCCATCTGCACGTCATCCATGAGCTCCAAAGCAGCCAACTGTATCCCTGAACGTATCAGCTTAGAGGCGGCAGTGGCAGCATCGCTGATTGAAGGGAATGAGACGACGGCGACGCCTGTCTCCTGCGGTAATACAGCTAGTTTACATGTAATTTCGGTGATCATGCCGAGCGTGCCCTCTGCTCCAACGAACAGAGAAGTGAGGTTGTAGCCAGCAGAAGACTTTCTCGGCCTCTGTCTGGTCTTAATGATACGGCCGTTAGGCAGCACAACTGTAACGTTGATGACCCAGTCTTTCATCGTACCGTATCGGAATGCATTGGTACCGCTGCGACTTCGTTAGATGTAAAAGTACTATGTCTTGATATCAACAACACACCTGCAATTGGTCGAGACCATACCGCCAATCGTCGCCGTTGGTGACGGATCCATTGGCAGGAACAGACCGGAGTTTTGCATGCGCTTATTGAGATCTACCCAGTTGACACCAGGTTGAACGACCACATCCATGCTGCATTGTGTCAGGAACCGATTTGGTCAAGATGTGTGGGGGCTGCTCGCAGACTCTTCTGGATGGAATGCGACGACTTCGTCCATGAACGTGAAGTCTATGCAGATACCGCTATAAGGCGATGAAAAGTTCCCTTCGACCGACGAACCGGCCCCGAATGGTACTAAAAGGTTAGCCAGGAAAGAAAATCTGGACTGGTGGGGCCCGTACCCATAGGAACGCTGTGCTTGCAGCAAATTTTGGCGATATCAGATACATCTTTAGTGTTATTCGGATACACGATGGCAACAGGCCGACCGGACGAGTTGGAAGTGGACCAATCTGAGTGGCCATGCGCTTCGATTACATCTTCGTCAAAGCTGACAGCCCCGGAACCCAAAATGGCTTCAATCTCTTTTGCTGCCTTTGTAACTTTTAGCCACAGGAGGTTTGTATCTTGGCCACGCGAGTGACAATCAGAAAATTGGCTGCATACCTGGAGCATAGTTACGCCGTTCGCATACTGAATCTCAACTGGTGCGGCAGATGGACTCCAGGCCTGATGAAGACCCCAGCCAAAAGCTGTGGCACCAATTGCTAGCCCATAGTAAAATGAGGGGTTCGAGTAGAACGCATTCCTTGCAGGGGAGGTGGCGGTGGTCTGGAGGTGACGCGGATAGTGCAGCCGGCCGGCCGATTGAGCAGTAGTTTTCGCCTTCAAGGCGGTGCCAGGCCGCGATCCTAGTCTCAATGGGTAGCGAAACATGTCCAAAGATGACTGGAAGACAGTGAGGGGGAATTGGTGACACAGATGATGGTAGAAGACGAGCAATGAGGGGTATCTACGGTAAGGTACGTCAAGTACGCTTCCGGTTTTAACAGAACCCCACAACACAACCTATCACCAGATAGCCGGGGTATGTCGGATATACCTTGAACGACGGTAAATACTTAGCGACGGGGAAAAACACAACGGCACTAGCTTTGTGATGACATGATAGGATCGGAACTCGGGATCGTCAAATCAACCACATGTATGGCATTCTAAACGACGGGTTAATCGACGGCGAAAGAACTTTACATTTCGATCACAATTTCCAATAACGTTGAAGCGCATCCCAAGCATCTGAGCCGACACCAGCGCCTCCACAAGGGCAAGTAAATTGACAACGCATATAATGACAAATTGACTTAGATGTGTATTAACTACGTATCCCTAGGCATAAGCAAAAACTCTGCGCGCGGTTTTCGCAGGGCCTATAGCTCTTATTAAGTGGATTATCTATTTATCTAAGCTGCCCCCTAGTAGCTAAGAAACGCTATTTTAACCCCTATAATCTAACACACCCCCTTAGGGATAATTAGTATAATTATATAGTTATCTTTATAGCTTAATTAAGTATTTCTAAATAGCTTTAATTACTTCCTATTATTATAGTTTTAATAGTTTTATAAGTTATAAAATAATAGCTTTTCTTACTATAAATAGTTAGAGTAATAGAATAAAATGTTTTCTACTTTACTTAATTAGTTTAAAGTTTCTAATTAGTTATAGTTTTACTAATTACTTTAGCTCTTTTTAAAAATAAAAAAATAAGTAAATAATTTTTTACTATTTATACTTTTTATTATTTTTTTTCTTTTTTTTCTTTAGTTTTTAAGATTTTATAAATTATATATTATCTTTATACTACTTTTTTATTATTATACTAATACTTACTTTAAATAGATTAAATATTTTATAATATCTTCTTATAATACTTTTAATACTAAGTATAAAGTTTACCTCACTACTTCTTATACTAACTATATATATATATTTAAAACTCCTAAGTACTATTATTTAGCCTACTTCTTCTCTAACCTCTCTAATAACTTTAAGGAGGATAAGCTAGCTTTTTTTATTAGTTTTAGCTATTAGTTTATACTCTTTTTATAAATATCTTTTATTATTAATCCTCTTCTTATAGCTTCTATCTTTATTTTACTTACTTACCCTTCTAGCTATATTAAGTACCTTACTATTTAGTTTATTAAGGAAGAAAACCTTAATAATAACTAAATTAAGGAGACCTCTATTAAGAAGAAGTATAACTACCCCTCTAATATTTAGTACTAAACTAAAAAAGAAGCTAAAAAAAAGAAGGAGATTAAAGAAGCTAAAGCTCTTATTTTCTCCCTTACTAAATAGAAAAAGAAAGATTATACTACTAAGTACTTTATTAAGCATATTATTATTAAGAAAAAGAAATAAGAGAAAGAAGAGGTTACCCTCTAAGCTATTTATATTAATATAGAGATTATTATTATTATTACTATTAGTAAAAAAGAGGAGAAAGAGGAAGAAAATAAGGTTATTATAAGTATTAATAACTTTTTTAACTTTATAAACTCCTTCTTTAAGTTAGAAGATAAGCTTTACTTTAACTACTCCCTCTCTTTTAGTAGTAGCTATTTATACTCTAGCTACTACCTCCTTAATAAGAATATTTATTACTACTACTATATAAAAAGTAGTAGCTACTTTATAAGTACTAAAGAGATTATTACTTTTTATTATAAGTTCTATAAAATAAAAAGTATACTAAGAGTAGTAAGTTTATCTTAGCTAAAGTATAAATTATCCCCTATTAAGTATTTCTATATAGTTATTAATTTTTTATAAAGAATTAATATTATCTAAGAAAACCTTTAAGATACTACTTATAAAGTTATTATAGTTTATAAAGCTACTAAGAAATAGAATATTACTCCTCTTAAGTATACTTTATATATTTACTACTTTACTTTAACTTTTATACTCTCTACTACTATACCCCTTCTTAGTTTATTTCCTCTTTATTTAGAGACTTTAATTTATACCTCTCTTATTCTTTTAAATATTTTCTCTAGTTCTTACTCTACTTTAAGTTATACCTAAAATACTATTATAGCTACTTATTATAACCTTAACTATACTCTCCTCTATACTTCTAAATTTAGCTATATTAACTTTAAAGAGTTCTATAATTAGTTTAATATTTTTAAGTTAGCTATTTCCTTAGTTACTTCTTATAAAGCTATTTTTCTTATTCCTACTTTTAAAAGTATTTAAATATTCTTATTTTATAGTTTCTTAATATCTTAAAAGTTTTAGTTTAAAATAGTTCTACTTTTAAGCTATAAGTTTATAGATATTTAGTCTCTCTAATAATTTTCTACTTTAAATAGAAGTTTTTTTATACTCTCTACTCCTTATTTTTATAACTTTTAATACTTATTATATAAAGTTATCCTAAATATCTTTTTTCTCTATTTCTTTTTTCTAGCTCTCTTTATTTCTTTTAAGCTTAGAAGTATAGTTTCTTTTAAAGGTTTCTTCTTAATTAGCTATTCTTAGCTATACTTAGAAGTTCTTAAAAACCTACTATAAAAGGGACTTTATAAGACTATCTACTATTAACTATATAAAAAGAGTATATACTACTAATATATACTTTTTATAGATCTCCTAATAAAACTAGTAGTTATAGATATTAATATAATATAACTTTTTTTAAAGATAGATAAGCTTCTTAATAACTAGCTTAACTATCTATTAGTTATTATACTAGATTTATATTATTATAAAAATACTTTTTATAAGTTAAAAAGATACTTTTTATTTTATCTCTCTAAAGAGTTATACTTAGAGAGATATTATAAAGTAGCTTATAAATATTACTTCTTAAACTATAAATAAAAGTAAGAAGAGCTTTACTTTTATAATTAAAGTTATTATAGTTATTTATTTACTTACTTTCTATATAATAATACTTCTAAAAAGCTTTATTATAAATCCCTAAGAGCTTTTTTAATCTAAAATATTATTACTAAAACTTATATTAGAAGCTATTTTAAGAGTGTTATATAGGCTTCTAACTTTAACTCTATACTTAATATATAAATAGTATATTTTATAGAGATACTATAAAGCTTAATCTATAGCTTATTAGTATTTTAATCTAAGATTCTAATTAAAGCAGGCTAAATAACTTATTATAAATATAAGATTTAGTCTTATTATTACTACTATATATAGGATAGTTCTTACTTTTCTCTAATAGAGATTAACTTTACTATTTAAAGCTTCTTCTTTATATAGAAGTAGCTTAATATACTTTATAAGAGTTCTATTTTATATCCTTAGAGAGTATCCTAATAAGAAGAGTCTTCTTATTTTTTCTATATAAACTAATTATAAAAGCTAGAATTTCCTTGTTTTTTAATTATAAAGAACCTTAATACTAAGAAATTATTATAAACTTTTATTACTTTTAAAGTAATATCTCTTCTAAAGTTCTTTAACTACTTCTTTAGTTTCTTTTTAAGAGGCTATTAAGTAAGTAAGTATATAGTTATCTATATAGAAGAAGAAGTATACTTAACCTTTTTTTTAGTAGTAGTCCTCTCTTATTACTTATAAAAAGTTTAACTCCTTTAATCCCTTTTTAAAATAATACTACTATAAAAAAAGAGATTAATAAAGTCTATATAAAGCCTTTCTAAGCTTAAGTACCTTTCTAAACTTCTTATAGCTAAATAGAAACCTTATATATATTATCTTATTAAGCTTAATATATATAAATATATTTACTATATTATACTAAAAAAGCTTTAAGTTAAAGTAGTTTACTATAGCTATTAAAGTTTAAAATAATATTTTTATAAAAGTTATAGTATAAATATCTTAAATATCTTTTACTTATTAATCTCCTTAAATTACTAAATAAGCTTTTAGCTTTATAAGTCTATTATACTTATTAAGCTTATAGATATATACCTAGTAGTATTTAAGAACTTATTAATCTCCTAAAGTATTTCTTATAATTTCTTTTTATAACTTAAACTTCTTATAACTTTATAAGTGAGATTTCTCTATTTATAAGAAACTTTCTACTAAAAAGTAGTAATTAAGTTTTAAGAGATTATATTTCTTCTTATAATTTAGCTATTCTTCTTAACTTAAGAGTTACTAATATAATATTAAGAGGGGAGGTAACTCTTATTAATAAATACTTATAAAGTATAAGTATATAGACTAAGCTATTTTTAATAAAAAAGAGCTTCTAGAAAGTATCTTATACTTCTCTAAGCTTTTTCTAGAAGTTTCTAAGCTTCTAATCTCTACTTCTTTACTATATAGCTTTTCTATTATATCTATAGATTAATCTTCCCTTATAGCTATATAAAGCTAGCTAAGTTATATATATAGGCTACTTAAGCTATTTAATCTCTAGAGAGTGTAAAGATTCTTATATAGATTACTTCTTACTAAGAATATAGCTTTAAATAAGGTTCTAAAGGTTACTTTTATTACTAATAAGCCTATTTCTCACCTCTTTATATTAAAAACTCCTTAAAAAGCTTTACTAAATATTATAAATAAGCTTATTAGTTTTAGAGAGAGAGGTAGTATTAACTAAAGCTTAAACTATATATTTATATATAACGCTATTTTCTCTAGCTATTCTTAATTAATCTCTTCTCTTATAGTAGTTTTAATATAATTAAAGATCTTATTTACTTCCTTATTAGCTTTCTATCTTATAAAAGTACTATAAGACGCCTTAATAAACTAAGTAATATATTCTTAGATTATTTTAAGATCTATATAATAAAACTCTTCTATTATATATATTAGATTTCTACTATAGAACTTCTTCTTATTAAATACTATATCTTATATAGTAAATATTTTGCTTTTTAGTAAGTTCTATATATAGAAGGAATTACTTAATATATAGT